TAATTGAATTAAATATGTTGCCATTTAAATAGAAAAAATCATGAATTTTCCTAACCTCCTGAATATTTAGGGGAGAAAACCTTTGGTTTTCCTATCACGCTTCGCATATTTAATCCATTACATAATTGGTCTTCTCATTGTTATTAGATTGATGCTAGTTGTAGCGAATTACTATTATACAAAATAATGTTCTTATTAGGTTAAAATTTCAAACATAAAAATATTGTAAGATATTTTTGAATGTAGATAGTGAGTCGAATTAAGGGCATCTCGAGTCCAAAAAACACGACTTTTGTAGTTTGACTTGAGCATTTTCACGACAAATTTGTCTCGTTCTTCCATTCATTGTACAAAGAATCTCGTCAAGTTGTCATAATCAAATAATAAAATGAAGAAATATATTGGTGGTACGTTGATAACATCATCGTCTAAATGTATAAACATGAGTTGAATTGCCTAATTACGACACAATTTAAGTTCGACCTAATTTGAAATGAGATATGCCAAACCTAGTGTTACCCAACTTATTCCTTCATAAATGATTTATTTATAAGTTTCTAATCATATTTCATGGGACTAGTGGCGCCAATTAGCTGCAATCACAACTAAAGTACGATGGAATTTATTCTTAAAAAAACTAATTTATAAGAATGGTCTCATTTTCACTCTAATGTTTCTTGGAATTTTATTTCTTAAATAAGAATTCAATAGAAGTCTTAATCCGATCATTATTTGAAAAAAAAATAATGTTTTGAATAATAATTTTTAGGAAAATATGTGATAAAAAAATAGCGATTTTTTTTGAATTTATGGCATAATATTTTATTGTGAATGCGTAATTAAAAATAAGTGTGTAGAAAAATGAGTTTTCAAATAATGGTTGTCAAATAGGGACTTAATTGCAAGTAATTAAAAATGATATTTTCTCTATAGTTTTTTTTTTAAATATTTTTTATAGCCCTCAACATATCAAATGGAATTTCTGTCCATCTCTGTCTGCACAACACATTAGAATGTTCAATTAGGCTAATTGTACATTAAAGTTGACACCGTGTGAAGTGTCAAAATTCGTGTCATTGCTATTTTAAAGCGTTGTTAAAATTAATGTATAAAATGTGTCACCTCATGGCGATGTCAAACTTGATAAACATGTAGCGTACAAAGGGATTCTCATTGAATAAAAAAAATTATTACACATAAATAATTTTATTAACTATTTTTTTTATATTTACGTATCATCAAATATTATTTTTATAGCACTTATAATGTATTTCAGAATCTTGTACAGTCCACGTTCAATTCTGACTGATTTATATAAAAAGTAAAAAGAACAGCATAAGATCCTTCTACGTTGTTAAAGGGAAGCATGAGAAAACCTCAACTATAAGCAAGCACAATTTTGATACCTATGTAGTTTCGTGGAAACGCAATTTTAGAGACCAAAGAAAAGTTGGATTGAAAAATAACTATTTTTTATGTGTCAAAGACTCTTTTGTGTATGAAAAGTAAAAGCGCATATTTCACAAATGGGTTTTGCTAGAGTTGGCCCTGTCACTCCAGGGGACGTCACATGTCTACCCTGTTTGTCCAAGGCCCACGTGGTCCTAGATGAATAGCAAAACCCTCCACAAATATCAAAACCAAAGCAAGATGGTCTCGAAGCTAATTGGTTCCTTTTTTTTAATTGAGAACCCGTTTGGGAGAGATTTTTGGGGAAAGAATTGATTTTGAATAGTGATATGATGAGAAATGTGTGGTTGAAAAAGAAGAAAAAATTACTGATGTGATGAAAAATATTATTTTA